ATGAATAAATATATAAAGAGTAATCTCATGTAAAATTGCTTTATTGGTGAATATACCGTATTTTGATTGTCTTCGTCTCTTCGACTGAATATGACGTCGCTTGATTTCAACTTCGCCGAACCTATCGCCTCGTATGACGACTCGGCTGATACAAGTATGAATAAAAATCCTGAAGATATTGACTCTATTCAAAAGTCAGATTTTGTTGTAATTAACGGCCGTCTATTACAAGTGATTGAAGTAACATATTCTAAGCCAGGAAAAATTGGTCGTCCAAAGGTTTTAAAATAATTTATTTATCTTCGTTTGTTTAATTTATTTTGCTTTTATTAAGGTTTATGTGATTGGCATTGATATATCTACAGGTCGTCGCTATGAAGATGTTTGTCCAACGAAAGATGTGATTAAAGTACCAAACGTTAGTAAAAAGGCTTATCTTCTGGTAGATATCGATAAAGATGGCTATGTTACGCTGCTCAATGAAGATACATGTAATACACGTAGTGATATAAAATTACATAAAGATTCGGATATAGCGCAACGTTTGCTTGACACGTTTAATGAAGGCAATGGGCAGATTAAGGTTACTGTTCTCAAAGCGCTTGGTGAAGAGAAAATTATGGCATTCGAAATGATAGATTAGGATACATGAATGCATTTTTTTTTTCTTGTGTTCATACAGCACATATTTTGAAAAAAAGAAAAGAAGATTTAAATAAAATCAGAAATTTCCTTCGAAAATAATATTTTGTTTTTGTTTGGCTAGTCAAACTTCCTCCATGCCGATAGACTTGACCTTAGACTAATGAAATAGATATTCGAATAAAGTCTAATGTAGCTCAGAACAAGGAAATTAGTAGGTAAAAAAAATTCATAATATTTTTTACAAAGCATAGATGATCAGAAAAATGAACTCGGTAACGTAGGATATCTTAGGTGAGAATTCGCGTTTTTCCTGAATGGATTCGCCCCAAACAACTTTTCAAGTAGATCTTCACGCGCTCTATCCATCCCAACCATTCTTTCCAAATGAAAACATTCCTGGAATCCGGAAACCCTCCAAAAACTACAAGAAAATGCCATAAAATACCGCGGAATTCTGTAGAACCCGTCGCGATTCGCCCAGAACTTTCCAACGTAGTGACTGAACTTATCAAGTAGATCTCGTCGAGTTTTATTGAATGGACACCTTTTGAGTTCGAATCGATGCTCGGATCGCTGAGAAACCGGCCAATTGAGGGGGCCGCATCCCAGGTTTTACCGAAAAACCCGTTGCGATTTGCCCAGAACAACTTTCCAACGTACTGGTTGAACTTTTCAAGTAGATCTTGAGAGGCTGTATCCATTGGACAACTAAAAAGTTCGATTACATGCTTCGTCTTTGTTAAACATCTTGCCCAGTTGCACTTGGAACACATTTAGCATAATTATCAGTGTTCGAATTCCTCATGATGCACGGCTGAGAATGACTGATTCTATCTTGCGCAGAGTTTTGATCTAGAACGGAGAGAATTGATACTTCTTTCTAGCTTTATCATGTAAAACAATTGCAGTATGCGGTCGCATTTTCTTGGATCTTATTTCGTGAACTGGAAAAATAGAGGACGCGTTTCGTGCATTGACAAATATTCGTATGTTAAAGAATTAATCATGCACTTTCGGAGGAGAGAGAAGAAAACCAATTGAAGAAAATATGTGAACCAATGAGAAGAGCATCTAAGTTAATCATATATAATTAATGGAGCAGGAAAAGATAAAAAGTGTTTCACTGATTTATTTTGAGTTACTCTGTTTTAACAACGGAAGAGGGCGACAGTGAACGATATTTGTTTTAATGCGCAGCTGTGGGCATCGTTTAAGGCGTGGGTATGGGTATGGATCATCTCTTTATTCACACCCACCTTTAGAAATGTGTTATTGGTCCATTATTATTTTTTTACTTGAAAAAAACGTATTCGATTTTGACCAGATTTTCATCAAACAGCGGACGAGCTTATCTTCATTCGGCTACGATTGAACAATCAAATATGATTTCTTTAACTATTAATCGATCAAAAAAATTTTAAGAAACATTATTTATATGAAACAGAAACAGATTTTCTCAGATCAAACAATATTAGATTCCGACGACTTTCCCAAGCACTCTAGTCGGAAAAGGCTCGTATGTCGAGTTTCTCATCTCTATTAGAGTACAGCACTATTCAACATAAATCATTTCCATTTAGAAATCAATATCGAATCGATACGTATTGCTTTAAAAGTTCTCTTTTTACATTGGTAATGCTATAGATTAGGTGTGGGTGTTGATGTGAAGTTTAAGCAAAGCTATCACCCACACCCACACCCCAAATAGCAGAATTAATTGCTAGTAACATAGAATATGATGAAAATACGAATGAAATTTTATTTGAATCATCAAAATCAAAATCTTTCACATAGGATTGAATTAGATAAAAGTGAAATTTATTTTAATGAATTGAAAAAACGTGTTCAAGAGCTTCACATGAGTTCAAAAATCAGTTCAGATAAAGATATCAGTCAAACATGTTTGAATATTGAAACTAAAAATTTTACTGAATTTGGCTATAAAACGAACGATGAAGATTTTTTAACTATATGGACACAGTAAGTATTTGCTTTATATAAACACTATTATTATTTATACTAAGTCCTAATCAAGTATTGATTTTGGGTTAAGATAATGGATGGTATCACTGATATATCACTTACGAGTGGAACATACTCAAGTGTGAGTCACTACTGTCAATCAACTTTAAGCCAATTTGTAGAGTTCTGAGAAGTGAATATGCTGTCATAAAATGTTTGTTCCTACTAAATGCCTTTCAGTAATAATGTTGGACCTCAAGATGAGAAAAATGACAGAAAGCTTTTAGAAAATTTTACTTTACAGGTTAGCTCAACCCTCTCGAAAAAAAAAGAAGTATTTGATGTTTGTTTAGTTTTCAGCATTGAAAATAATTACGTCTTTACTTTGAATATCTCAATGCCATTATTATTGTGGATATTTAGAGTAGTACGGTTTCTTTTTATAATTCATCTTATTCTATTTATTTTTTCACACTGTTTAAAATGCCTGCCTTATCTATTATATTTTTTTCTGTAAACATGCGAGAAAACAACTAAATAGAATACAGACTATTGAACAAAAGATATCTAGCAAGATTTACACTATTGAGTCTTCAAAATAGTATCATTAGAGGATCATGATCAATTTTTGGAAAAAAACTAGTTCGATTTCGTACATCCGAATTATTAATGATATTGAAACACTCAAAGTATAGACTTTGTAAGATGTTTTATCTATACTCGTTAACTAGATGCGCACAATCAATTAAGACGCATCGAGTATATAAGCTTTCAATGCTTACAACTAAACTAATATAAAAATTAAAAATTTCTTAAATAACAGTTCAAGATCACTGTAACTTTTGGATAACAGTCTGTCACGAAGAAAATAGCACATTTGCCAGTTATTTGTTTATTTTTTCTAAAACACTAGAACTGCCGGTAAGTAAGACCAACCCTAACACTTAGATATGGCGATACATGATAATATAATATTTCTTTCCATTTTCTCACAGTAGCTAAAAATAGAGCCCATCAAAAAGTTATCTTCTTGTAAAGAATTTGTGATATATACACTTATTGATGATAGATCCTGATATTTGGTCATTTCTATTCGATTGTATTATCCATCATATGTATATATTTTACCTAATGGTTATTTGTTGAGGAAAAATCATAGCTTTACTGTTAGCTTCCATAAACCCAGAAATGTCTCATTCACTCTAGTTTTAGACGAACAGATATGAGGATAACATTAAGAAAAGGAACAGATGTTATTTTTAAAATACTGCAGAGGACAACAAAATACTATTTCATCAATCATCAATGATATTGATCAAATTAGACAATCGTTAAAATTTATAGATAGTTTAGATATAAGTTTTCCTAAAAGAAATGATAAAACTATCGCATGGATGATTGTTTTTTGAATATTAAATATTAAATATCCTAGCTAAAATAAGTGTCGATATTCAAAAAGAACATTGTCTTCATGTAACACCACATATTATTCTAATGGATGGAAATGATATTTGGCATCCACGTCGTGCTGGGGTTGCTTCCCATTTTTAGTGTCTTAAGTGGAATTTCATATTTCGGTGTATCGAAAAATGTTCTTTATGCTGATGGTATTACACGAGAGAAAATCACTATATTGAAGTAATAGGTGATAGTGGAAATGTTCTTGAATTAGCTTATAATGCAACTGGCTATGTAAAAAAAATGCTGCTTTATATTAGTGTTGGACATAAAATAACATTGATAACACCTTGTCATATATTCAAATCAGTAACTAAACATTGCAATTGCAAACCAATACGACAAGCTGATTTACTTAGCCGAGAAATGGTTGCAAAACTTTCATAAACAGAATTTAAAAAAAAATTCTTCTCTACTAATCTTGAATGTCGTCCAATAAAACTTAATCTGACTTTTGATATTGAAAAGACTTTTATCAATATATGAAAAGTACCATCGTTAGACAACTTATATGTTTTCTGTCTTCGCACTTTTTACTCGAGATTCTTTCCAAGACAGATGATTCGTTTTCATGTTAATATAAAAGACAATGAAAAGGACAACACGTTTATATCATGCTTCAACTATGAGTGCATACAATTTTTATAACTTTGTGTAGCTCAGTATAAGTGTTGCGTGAATGTATATCAATAAAAGAACCGTGAAAATATTGTATGATCCTTCATAATCATGTACCGTTGTATGAAAGATATATATATATATATATAGTGTTGCACAATCTCATTAGCCAACTTTAAAGCTACTCTGAAAACACAAAAGATGCACTGAAGAACTTCGAAAAGTTTCTGAGAACTAAAACACGGTGGAATCTTTTTAAAAGAATATGTACGAATTATAAAACTATTTTCATATATCTTGAAGCTTCACGAAACTTAAAGCAAATTTCGTATCATTTTGCGATACTTTCAAAAAGGTTTAGATTTCGTTTCAATTTTCGATACTTAAAATACGATTTTATTTTTAGTGTAGTATTAGGAAGAGAATCATTTTTTAAGAATTTTATTTGATTTTTAATGTTAGATCTGTTACGAACCATTAAGAATCATACAGGATTATCGGATCAAACAAGATTAGAGGTACAATCTTGCAATATCTTACTATACGACTGTCTGACCTAGGTTAGTTGTCTGAGGACAGTCTTCCATCTTGAATAGTATGTGGATGTGCATTTAGAAAGATTGTAAAATTAAAATGAAATTACAGTTATTTGATTTTTTAACATGACGGAAAAAAAGAGATAATATTGAAAAAATTTAGCCCAATCGAATTCGGTCAACATAATTATCTTACACAAAAGAAATAATTAGTATGCCATGAAATAAAAAAAACATACTGACTTTTGCTCAAAGATATTAAAAGTAAGACAAAATTCTAGGGTGTGGGTGTTATTTCTCTATTCACACTCAGACGCGCGTCCGGATTCGCCCACACCTACACTCTCTCGCAAACACTAATGAATTGAATCTGATTAGGCGATAGAATGATTATATAGTTATATATATATTTGCCATTCACTTGTGCATCATTCAAGCCTTAGTTAGACAGCACCCTTACAAGAATCATATTTAGTTCAAAGTAATTTATCCTTGTTTTTTATTTGTTTGCAGTTAGTTTCGAGATATTTGATTGACGAGAATCTGCTTTAGGTATTTATCTAAGTAGTTATTACTTTCATGCAGAGAAAGTCTATTTCATGAAACTTCTCGAATAAAACTTAATAGTTTCAAAAACAACACTCGTCGTAATCATCGGTAGTGTAGTCTAGCTTTTCATCCCATATAGGTGATGCTGGTTTAAAACCAAAAAACGATAGATGATTCGTCAAATGTTCTTCTTCGTCACCAAAATGAATCGTTCTTGGAATAATTGCCAATGCATAATTAAAATATCATTTCGCTCGGACCATAATTTCGTTCTTGTCAATAGCTCATATTTTGAGTGCCTATATTCAATGATAATGATAGATATGTGATAAAAGAAAGCAAATATTATCTTATCCTGTTAGTTCCTAATGCATTATTCAGATAAAGTGCCCCTCGATCATCAATTTTGTTTCCTCAAAGATCCAGCTCTATAAGTGTCTGTATTAAATCCAAATGATGAATATATGATAGATAGAAAAAGAAACTGTCTCACCGTGTTAGTTTCTGATGCATTAGCCAAATATTGTGCCCCTTGGGTATTGATTTTGTTGATATTTATATACAGCCTTATTAGTGTTTGTGTTGAATGAAAATAGTG